TAGTGCGCCAGAACGCCCACCACACACCAGCTTATTGGTGGAGAGGAGACAGAGTGATGAAGCCAATCAGTAGATAAGGGGGTTGTTAGGAGGCCATGATGGTCAGAGGCCAATGGGCAAATTTGGCCAGGATGCCGAGGTCACACCTCTACTCTTTTCGAAAGACATCCTTTTGATTTTTAATGACCACAGAGAGTCAGGACCTTGGTTTAAAGTCTCATCTGAAGGATGGTGCTTGTTGACAGTATAGTGTCCCCATCACTATACTGGGGCGTTAGGACCCACACAGACCACAGGGTGAGCACCCCCTGCTGGCCTCACTAACACCTCTTCCAGCAACAACCTAGTTTTCCCAGGAGGTCTCCCATCCAGGTACTGACCAGGCTCAGCCCTGCTTAGCTTCAGTGGGTAACCAGTCTTGGGCTACAGGGTGATATGGCTGCCTGTCGTTTTAGTGCGTTAATTAATTAATTAGTTATGGGAAAATAACGCAATTAAAATATTTTAACGCAATTAACCTGTACGTCATCTTACACTTCATATAGTTGACTGTTGGCAAACATGATGCAGGGCAACAACTCACTGCATGATATAGCCTATATAAAATGCAGTTATACGCCCTTAAAATTTAAGATATTGGGGGAAAAATGTCCCGTATGAGTTTTTGTCTAATGTTTATGTCATATGATAAGCGATATCACACGACCAGTGAGAGCAATATAACACGAGTTTTGTTTCTGTCCTGAATAGCGCGAGTGCAAATGTGATTTTATACAACAGTTCAGTAAATAAGAAGTTGATATTGTTATATTTTAAATAGGCTACAGTATTGTCTGTTTTGGCTAAATTTTGCCAACGAAAATATTACCTATAAAGCCACAGCAGAGGTGTTGTGCATCTCCAAGAAACGCAGCGGTGAATGAATCTGCGTTTTGAACAAATCGGTTGAAGCAATGATTCAATGGCCCGTTCATAAAGAGAGCCATTTACTTCATTCCTGAATGAATCAGCGGTTTGAACGAATCAAATGAATGAATGAATGACTTAATGATTTTCTCATAAATATTATCATTATCATTTACTGCCACCTACTGGTAGTTTTAGCTTCTTATTTAGAGTATCATTTCTACTCTGTACTACACTGATGCCTACACTGTACGCATACCCAAGCAAACAAATAATACCCAAGTATACTTTAAGCTTAATAATGACGAATCCGATACTTGCCGCTCCCCTCTGGATGGAGGTCAGATTCAGGCCAGCTTCTACACTGAGCTTAGCAGGCATTGTTTCAGTCATGTTAGCTGGCAGATATAAATATGGAGATAGGCGGCCTGGAAGCGGAAGAGCGGGCCTTGGCTGAAGCCGAAGCAGCCTTGAGCTCTGCTTACATTCTGCCCTAATTAATCCAGACAAGACCTGGTACCTGCCAAACTCCTAAATAAAGCGTTCTGTTGCACTGGGCCAATACATGCCCGGTATAACAATGATTGGTTGTCAGGGACTCATTTCCCAAAGCTGGAATCATAGCATGTGTAAAACGATAGCCGTCCTCGAGTCAAAACACACACCGCTTTAATCATGCTTTCACCTCCCGCCTTTTTTCCCTGTGGTCTTAAGAAATTATATTGCCATGTGAGCGTGTAGATGTTTAAATATTTTCTTTATGGATAATGCGCGACTGTTTTGGTACATTGACGTGACATTTGATAAGAGCGAACTGAGAGCTTTCGCTAAATTTCACCCGTCGATTTTAAAGATAACTACCCTGGAAGTGCCATTATATGGTTTCTTTTGTGTCATGTAAAGTTGAAAGTCTCTGGAAACAGATGTGTTTCAGCCCTAATGTTAAAAAAATGTGGACAACACGGACTAGTTGCTGCCGGGTTTTCTGCGCTTTTTCCAAGTTCTGTCACACCAGCGGTTTCGACCCATTAAAATCATTGCGAAAGTTGACAGCGAGAGTGCTCAATCACAAAGAAGTGGTGACAATCGGTCCACGTTGGTATAATTACAGTCCGCAGTTGCTCCAGAAATGCCCACAGCAGTTAAAAACCACAGGAAGTACTATATAAAACCTCATTTACTCAACTTTTGTGAGTCTGTAGTAACTTTTCCCATGTGATGCCCTCTATTAAATGTTGAGTGACGTTTGGATAGGGGGTGGACATTTATTCTCAGTGTCAGCAGAGTTTTTCCTGATACATAAACATAACAAGCCATTGCCGTGATCAACATTTCCCCTGTTCTCCATATTTTCCATTGTGCCGCACCTGGGCTGCAGATGTTGGCTGGGGTTTGACATCCCACGTGTAGAAGCGATGCATTGCTGTATTAATGTAGTCAAACATTTGTGATGAATGGTGTTGTGAGTGAGGCGTTGGAAATGCTAATTTAATCAGGTCTACATCCCTCGCTCTCACTCACTCACTTACTTCACTTTTTATTGTAACGTGCTTTAGCATACCAGTCCACAGCAGGGACCGAAACTCTTGAAAAAGCTTTTTTTTCTGCTTTTGGTACAAGTGGTCAGTAAAAGCCGTTTATTTTTCATTCATTTACATGAGGTTTGCCGCTTTTGTTTTTAATAAAATATACACTACTATTTAAAAGTTTGGGGTGGGTACAATTGTTTTTATTACTTTTTTTTTTTTTTTTAAGAAATTGAGAAATAAATGACTTTTATTCAGCAAAGAGCCATGAAATTGATTAAATGTGACCAAAAAAAATAAAGAAAATCCACAAAAATAATAAAGTAGCAAATGAAGCCCAATAATAATAATAACAATAATAATAAATGTTTCTTGAGCAGCTAATCAACATATTAGAATGATTTCTGAAGGATCATGTGACACTGAAGACTGGCGTAATGGCTGCTGAAAATACAGCTTTGATCACAGAAATAAATTGTATTTTAAAATATATTCAAATATCAAACAGTTATTTTATATTATATATTTTTTTTACAATATTTCTGTTTTTACTGCATTTTTGGTTGAATGACTGCAGCCTTGGTGCCCATTTGAGACTTTTCAAAAACATTTAAGAAACATTATACTGTAGATTCCAAACTTTTAAATTGTTTTTATAAATTCAAGTAGTTAATAATAATAATAATAATTAAAAAACTTTTACTATGATAATTTGAATGTAATTTCAAAAGACTGTCACCCTTATGACATTGTATGGTTTTAATTTGTTGCACGCAGCCAAAAAAGGCAAAACTTTAAAGTGATGTACTGAAATGTGATGTTTTTGTAACTAGGTATTATTTATATTAGCTTATTTTTATCAACATATTTAATGTGACTCGGTTGTTTGTAGTAACGGGAGATCAAATTGTACCTTATTCATGGCAAGTGTCTTGTTAAATTTACAGCTTAGGTTACAGAATAACTTCTTTTTTTCTTAGCTAGAGCATATTTCTCTGCAACCCCCTACTACTTCTGCCCCATATCATAGTTAAGGGTCACAAGTGCCCATAAAAGCTGTTCCAGCCATTTATTTGCCTCCATTGCCCTTTGGGCTTCCAGCCGATACTGTTCCCAGGCGTCCCGTTGTCTTTTTCTGCAGTATCACTGCTGACTCCTCTCTCAACTCTTGCCCTCGGCGCACTCTCGGCCCTCTGATTATATTCATCCGTCAGCCTGACATCAATCCCATGCTAGTATGCAGCACCTGACATTAATGTCATACGTTTCCACTCACTCTGTCACGGACAGTGGGCACCCAAATGGCGGTAATTAACTTTAAATACTGCTCTCATTATTGTGTGTGTTGTAGTGCAAGAGCCGGCCCCGCTGACGGAGATGGAACTTTGTGCAAAATGGGAGCAGGCTCTCGGTCCACATTACGATGTTATGGTAAGCAAAAATGTAGGGGAAGTAATGTTAACAGATGCTAAGTGCGGCTCTCAATTAAACATGAAGCAAACTGCACATCAGCAAGAACCGCCAGCACTTACGCATGCTGTGATAAGAGATGTTCGATCGACCAGCTAAATCTGGCTGTAGATTGCCTCAGTTGACTCCTATTGGATTTGAGTTCATGTGCCGACACACTGTTGTTTGGGTTTATTTACCATAAAGGGAGTATGTGGACCACTTTGAGGTTACCACTATGGAGAAATTTTTGATTTTTTGTTTAGTTTTTTTTTTGGTTTGTTTTTCACTTTTATTTTTTCATGTTTATTCACATTTTATTGTATTTTTACAGGTTGTACAGCTTGACCCTGTCATAGATGATGATATTGAGCTGCAGAAGTACTCTAAGGTAACGTGAAAACAGCATAATTTATGATTCATTTATGATTAATTTGTTCATTCATCTCTATAGTAGGGCCGGGCGATGTATCAATTATTCATAATATATAGTGGAGATGGTAGCGAGTTGGTCACATATAATCCTTCTTTGTCTCATGACTTGCAAGTATGAGAGCATTAAGATATCAGGATGGTTTTTAGCTCCTCACAAGTTAATACGTTTAATTAATTTCTGTGAATCAATTTGTTGCAATGAATCAATTCAAATTCCTGAACAATTTGTTTGAATGATCACACAAAAAAGTCTTATTATTAAGTCCCCACCTAGCTTTTAATATTTTCAAGTGTTTTAGTAAAAATATAGCGTAATATTAGTGCATATAAAGAAAAAAAAAATTCATCCTTGTGTTCATTTAGTGAAAAACTAATTTTGATTTTACTGTGTTTTAGCATTTTTAAGAAACACTTTTTGAGCAAACACTTAAATATTAAGATATATATCAAATCTCACCCAGTCATGCTCAGTAGTGACTACAATGAGTGAGTCTTACCATAAAATTGTTTCTACAGCTTCTCCCAATACACACGATGCGCTTGGGTGTGGAACTAGACACTTTTGATGGACATCACTACATTTCCACAGTGGCTCCTGAGGGTCCAGTGGCAAAACATGGGCTGCTTCGACCAGAGGATGAACTTCTGGAGGTAAAGTCATTTTAAAGTGCGTTAAACAGCATCTACACTGCCGATGTGTGTCTTCCCTGCACCCTCGTTATTTGGCATTATGGTTACGTGGGCTCTCAGGGTTTGGCCAGCCTGCAGTTTTGCTCTTGGCTTGCTTTGGTGAGCCTCTTCTCGGTTGCTTTAATAACACTGACCTTTGCATCCTGCCAGCACCAAGCATCCAGGAAGGCTTGCTGCTGCTGCTGCTGCTGGCTCGTGGATGTTCTGGCAGGAGGGCTCCTGAGTCTGACCGAGGCCATCTGCATGACTGTCCCCTGCCCTAACCTCCCCACTGGCCTTGCTTCCTGCCCCCTTCCCTCTAAACTTCCCCCTCCCACCTGGTCTGGTGGCCGAGGGCCGCTGTGTCTTCAGCCTGTTGCTGTTGGCAGGAGCCTGGATGGTTAAAGCAGGGGAGATTTGCAGGGCTGCAGGGGAAGTGGCTTATAGAGAGATGTGGCGTACCTCAAGGCTACGTCCTGGGGCCAGTGCATTTGTTGGAGGCTCTGAAGAATTGTTTATGAAAATCCCATATTTCAGTGTAACCTAACCATCCTAATGTACTCCTTTTGGCCTTGCTAGATGCTTAGAAGCCCAGTGGTACAGTGATGGTGTGTACGTGTTAGGGATGTGCGGGTCTAGTCGACTAAATGGTACAGCACCTACTAGTCGACACTGAAAACAATAGTCGATTACACAAAAAAACAAAAACATAAAATAATAATTCAAATTACCATCATTTTAACATTGCATTTAAAAAATTTTAAATAGCAAGTTAAAATAAAACGTTTGAAAAATAATACATTATTTTAAAAAGTTTATCTGGGCGGAAACTACATTTTTACCTCAGACCTCACATGCGTTTTCTTCGTGTCAGTTGCGGCGAGTTCAAAAAAATACCACGCGAAAGACGAGAAGGTGTGGGATTATTTTGAATTAGAAGGAAACGGAAAAGTTTTGTGTAAACTGTGTAATGTCAAATTGTCTTACAATAACTCTACTGGAGAGATGCGTAATCATATTCAATACAGGCACGCGTTAGCTTAGAGACTGGCTAAAGCCAGCAAATGTGTCAATCACGTCATTCACTACAACCCGCAGGCGCTGCGATCCCGTCCGCGCCGTCTGTTCCTCTAACAAACACCCACTTCGGTGGTGGTGCGGGATGTCCAGGTGCTTTCTGAAACTCTATCGGCTTGCTTTTCGTTATCTCTGCGTGCCTGCGACTTCAGTTCCTGCCGAGCGCGTTTTTTCAAGTGCAGGAATTTTATTGTTAATCGCCTCAGGTCCCGTCTTTCACCAGACCACGTTGATAATTTCACTGAACAAATAACGCATGGTCTGAGTAAGTAAAATGGACATTGTTGCACTGTTTTGTTTTTAGACGATATAGCCTACACAAAGTACGTTTTTAAAAGCCGTTTTAATGCTATTTCTTGATAAACCTTCCTATTGTTTTTGACTTGTGTTTTAATATGTTGGCTAACGTTATATGAAGATTAAGAATTCTGTCAGGCTATTGATTGATTTTCCATTGCTCTGCATTTCCCCAGCTGATTTGAATAAATAAGCTATGCTTTGGCTTATGTTGAGTGTATGCTCTTCTTTTTTTTCTTTTTAACGACCGCCTAAAATGAAATGATGATAACGCTAGGCAAGTGTGCGGCAAGCAGAATTCATTGAGGGATTTGATAGTGTGATTAATAGATTAAGTATTTCAAATATAGGCTATTATATATGCTACACGCATGCACAGGGTTTTTTTTTCTTACCATCTTTTGGGGGTTTCTTGCTTTTAGACTAGTCGACTAGTCGGATACAAAACTTTCATTTAAACGACAGTCAAATTAGTCGTCGCGCACATCCCTAGTACGTGTATGTGTGTGTGTATAAGGGAAATGATGTGTGGAGACCATGGTTTCCTCCTGTTTTGGGCAGATGGCACAGTGCCGCCCCCACTCGCCATAGCAGCTTCAGGCTTGCCCGCTCCATGAAATGCCAATCAAAGATGGCCAGTTGAATGCCACAGAAGACCGTGTGTAATATAGTCACCAACCTAATAAGCACCCCATAGGATATTAATTTGATTTCTCACATCCTTGTCAAAGCAAGTTACACTTCATAAGTGACCTTATTTTTGTACCCCTAGTGTTCGATTGTCGATTGTGTGCAGTGATAGATTTTCTGTACGTTTGTGGGTGAAGATTCTCCCAATAAAATGTTTGTTGTATTTGCAGGTGAATGGCGTGCAGTTGTATGGGAAATCCAGACGAGAGGCTGTTGCGTTCCTCCGAGAGGTTCCTCCTCCCTTTACTTTGGTTTGCTGCAGACGCCTTGCTGAAGAGGGCAGCGAGTACCACCCTGAATCTGAAGAGTGGCACTCATCCAGCCCCTCAGCCAGCCTACAGGAGCAGGTACCGAGTACATACACGCAAGAGAGTCCAAAATGAACACTCAACAACTGCCAAATGCAAGTCAAAATTGGCTTTCGCAAGTTACTCTGCATTGGCCGATAATTTGAAACAAAACTGCAAAATAATATATGCCTGCTCATTTTGTAATAATTTTACAGATTGAGAATAACCTCTCCATGTTTGCCAAAGTTACAAGTCTACGCAACAGCATGAGGGAAGAGTTTCAGGTTTGTTCATATCCTGTAATAACATTTTACAACTGGATTTTAGCTCAGTTGTTCTCTACTGGTTTTGCTTCAGGTTCTAGATTTTACATGTGGCACCAAAGTAGTTTATTATACAAAAGTAAAAAATAAAGTAAATAAAATCTCAGAAAGTTTAATTACAATATGAAAAATTTGTAACATTATATAGACTTGTCTTTTAAAGTCATAGTTTGATTGAGGGTTTGATTGATTAAGTTAACCCCACCAGAACAGACCTGCAACCCATTTTGGGGTTGCAGCCCACCAATTGAGAGCCACTACTATCTCATCGTGATTTGTGCTTTTCTTTTCAGGCCCGTCAGGCTACAGCAGTGGAGCGGGAGGTTAACGATGAAGAAGAGCCCCTAGAGCCAAGCAGCCCTGAGAAAGAGCAGATGGACGAGGAGAAGGATGACGAAGAAGAAGAGGAGGAGGATGAAGGGGAATTGGCTCTATGGTCTCCGAATGTGCAGGTGGTAGAACTAGAGAAAGGAGAACGAGGTCTCGGCTTCAGCATACTAGACTACCAGGTGGGGAATTAACTCATTTCTTTTTGTTTTTTTTATCTTTTTTAAACCTTCTTTTGGAGAGAGTAACTTCATATTTATCTTTGTCTCTGAGAAAAAACATAGAAAACTAGATTTACATTTCAAGAAGCATTTACAAGAAGTGTTGTTTTGTATCATCTGCATGGAAGAACCAACACAGTCACCTTGCACTGTAAAACTGGCTATATTTGAATAAACATATGCAGTAAAAACAAGACCAATCAAAATTCAGTATGCAAACTGATATAAGAAAGAGGTCTAGTCACAATTCACTATACAAGTATTATGATGACGTCTTCATGGTCTGTTATGTTTTTAAAACATTTACATTTTACATTTACATTTATTCATTTGGCAGATGCTTTTATCCAAAGTGACTTACATTTGACATTATATCATTATAAAACATTGTCAATGTATGTAAAGTCTTCATATAATTCAAGTTTGTGGGAAAAAAATGGATAGCACATGTAAAGCTGTATATATCTACAAAATAATTTAAGTTTGCATGTTATGAAACTGTATAGCCGCGTTTCCACCGAAATTACCCAGAACAATTGTACCAGGAACTTTTTTTCCCAGGGACATTTTTCCCCCCAGACCTGTTGCTGTCTGCGTTTCCATCGCTGTCTAAAGTACCGAGAAGAATAGGCAAATAGTCTGGTGGCGTAGGTCTGCGCGCGTTTCAATACCAAGTACACAAATTTCGGACTTGCATCCTCAGTAGTTCGGACTTCGCGAGTTCGACTCAGGAGTGTGAACTCCCGCGGACGGGACGACGCAAGTCCGGTAATTCTGCAGCAGGGACTTTCTGAGGGGCAATTTTTTACCCGGAACTTTATTTAGATCCTGGTTCCTGCGTTGGAAACACAATGAGTACTGGCCCAAAGTCCCTAGTTCCTGGGGAAAGTTCCTGCAGTGGAAACGAGGCTTATGTTAATCTTAGGTTTAAGTAATACCAGAATTTTTATGTTATTTAGAACATAGGAATAATGTTGTCTTGCAAAAACTGTAATAAAAATAGATAAAATAACAAATCAAATCAAATTGTTAAAAAATGGTACCAATTATCCATAAATACTCTAAAAAGCCAAGTAAAGTAATGACATTTACGGTGTTCTGTCAACTGTCCTTTAAATGGGGGGGAAAAGGAGACTGGACTCAATTAATCCCCCTTGACTTTCCAAAAGTGTGATCACAGGAAATGTGCGTTGATGTCACAAGTCATTGGACACTGAACAAAAGAAAGCAGTGAAACCTTTCCAAATAGGGCCGCCGCTGTTTATCTGGCCCCGCGCCAGCCGTCAAACCCTTTGCTCTGCTCACTTAGTACGAAAAGCTGCTTTCCTCCTTCCTTCATTAGCCCTCTAATCAGGGTTAGTACATAACTGCACGTTGATCCTGAATCAGAAGTGATCATGTAATGAGGCCACTTAGAATGCAGAACCTCTCCCGCAGACCTGCACTCCGCCGGTCCTGTGGGACGCCTCGTGTTTTATATTATCCAGCCACGGGTTCCAATTGATTTCATGCAGGGAAACGGTATTGGCAGGAGAAAAGCATGCCTGTGCTTTCGCAACTTCATCAGGACTGTAATAAATGGCCACCGCATCATGGAGAAACTGAACGGAGATCATGTTTTAATGGTAAGATATGCTTCTTTCCTCGTCAGTGAGTGATGGGGGCCACGGCGACATGGACAGAATTACATTGCTGCTTAATGGCGGTAACCTGAGCAGTGATCCCTTAAATTTTTCCTTTCTCTTCATCTCTCTGTTAAATGAAGGAATGAAGATGGAGGAGGGATGAGGAAACTCGGGAGAGAGTCCATAGGCTCTGTGCTATGATAAAAAAAAATGTTTTGCTGACGTAAAGTCCTTCGTTTTATTTTTTCTTGATCGTATGAAGCTACGCAGGGGTTTTTGTTTGTTTTTGCAGCATGAACAAGTACAAACGAATTGCATCAATACTGCATTGGCGCACTGAATTTGATATCATCTCATCACCACCAAGGCTAGAGGAGAAGAATTTCGCAGTCCTGCAACTTGGATCATAGATCATTGTCGTGAAGAATGCTAAAGCCTACTTTGCAGATCTTCTGGAGGAGTTGCTGGTGCACCCTGGGGTTTATTGGAAGCCATATTGACCTGTGCAGCTTCCCCTCGGTCGAACTCATAGTCTTCGTGCTCTGCACCAGCTGAGCCCCCTCCACCTAGCCCCGTCTGCTTGCTTATCTACACCGAAACAAACGCTTTTCAACCCGAGGGCCTGATGCATGATGGGTGGGAATTGATTCAGTGGAGGAGGAGGTGTAGGCATTTGCAGAGTTGTGGAAAAAAAGTGTTAAAATAAGAAAGGAATTTCCAAAAAGACAAAAGTGAGCAACTCCCAAAATGCAATGATTGGTACGGTCTTCTGCCGTCTTCTAATGGAGGAGGAATCTCTCAACCTTTCTTCATGATTTATTTTCTGTTTCCCGGGGCACATGAGCCAGGGTTTCTTCAGTCTGCAAGGGGGACATTGATTTTGCCGTTCTTTCCAGTAAGAGGCCTGAGCTGATAAGGCCGAGTAGGCAACCTCGAGACCTGCAGACACGCTCGAAGCCTTCCAGAACCTTCAATCTCCCCCTCCTTTCTACCGCCCCCCTTCCCTTTTTCTTGTCTCAATCGCTAGTGTTACCCCCAACGCAAGGAGACCTTGTAACCGCAGCTAGATTGATGGGAGCCCACGGTCATACTGACAGCTAGATACCAGGGAGTTTTTCTTCCCTAAATGACACCCCTGACTGCGTGAGTGACATGAAGTGGCGACGGCAAAATCATTTGGAGTCACGCCTCAGTTTTTTGCTCTGACAAGGAGATCTCGAAGTAAGAAAAGCTACATGGCAACATGAGAAGGACCCCCTTGGTAGTACTAGCCATCCTGGTAATGGAGATTAATGAAGGCCGTCTTGAAGTCAAACAACTGATCTGAAGGGTCGGGCTGTGGTGGTTTAGTTTTAAGTAAGATTGTACTCTCATGGCCATTTAAAAGTCATTACTATGAGTTTTCTCTAACAATTGGAAGTGTGCGTATGAAGTCACGGTACAGCCAGGCTCAACTGAAATATGATTGAGCAGCTCTCCCGCAAAGGATTTAGGGTAGATGTAAGCTGCCCATAGGGAACGTAGCTTAACGTAACTTTCTGTTTGGGTAGGATGTCGGCCCTACACCAGCCTCAAAAAGAGAAATGTCTCCGTTCAAAAAAAGAATAAACTTGTTGAGTGAAATTATGGCATGAAGAACAAGAAGAATTTGATCTGCAACATGTTCTCCGAAGGTTCTTGCATTTACAAATGCCATTTTCCATGAAATTGTATACAATTATATGAAAGGCCTTTTGCAAGTGGGCTGTGAACTCTCGGCGTGCAAAACAAATTTATTTGATACATCGGTAGTGAATGTATGGCTCCAATAATTCATGCCATCCAAGGAGAAGAGATCTGAGAGAATGCATTTTTTAATCATTTCGATGGTTCAAAGCGCCTAACCTGCGCATCAATACAGCATTTAGTCTCATCCAGTGAATGTTTTAAAGTGGAGTCATAAATCATCCCAGAGTGTTATTATTTATTTATTGTTGTTTATTTATTCTGTGGCCTAAAGCTGCAGAAACTGACCAAGGGCTATTTTATTACCGTTGCAGGAAAATAAGCTACCAAATCGACTACAGGACTCTGTCCTTAATGTTAATATGTTAAAGAAGGATGTGCATTGCGCTTTTCAGCCATGAACAATTGTTCTAACATCGTGTTGTCATTTCGAAATAGTGTCTTCCAATATTAGGATCCAGTTTGTGGCAGATCCAAAGAAAGATGTGTCTGGATTTACTACCATTGTCATGCTTGCACTGTCTGTGCCACCTGTTGTTATGCCAAACAGCTGCCCACAGCTGTAAGCTTTAAAATAAAAAACAGCTTATGCATCGTTCCTCCTCGTGCTTTCACTTGGCTTGCGTTAAGACTTCAATGCACTTGTCAATATTAGTGTAATAGCTAGTAGCATGAAAGCAGTGAATAATTGTCAAAGCAAACAAAGTGGGTACCATTCTGCCATCCATTTATTTTACTTCTGCATGTCAAGATATTTTTCGAAACTAGAATGGCAACATTTGGGCAGATGTGGCCTGATGGTTCGAGAGTCAATGAACAGATCTCAAAAGAACCATTTTTTTCTTAGTGTGAACTTTTAATGAACGAAAGACCTTTTTACACTATAAAGAATCTTTGTGCAATGGAAAGATTCCATGGATTTTGAAGGTTTTTCATGGAACCATAGATGCCAGAACCTTTATTTTTAAAAGTGTAGTTTCAAGGAATTTATGCAATTGTACAATTTTCTCATTCGTGCTGTGGAAGTGGGCACCCTCTGTTCTTTTCTCAAGGCAGCTACAGTGAGAACAACCAAAAGAAGGATTAAAAGAGAAAAGAAAGCAAAAGACAGACATCCTGGAGTTCCTGGTATTCTGTTCAGCAAGATTGAAGGTGAGGCAGAGCGCAGTAGCAAAACAGATGACTTGGCCTGCCATTGATTCTTGCGAAACAGCAGATTTACTGTCCACCTGACACCATGCTGAAGAATTTCAACCCGCCAATGCTCATACCCATCCGTTAGCTCTCCGACATTTTTAACCACGATTAAGGTTATGTAGGCCACAGGAAAACATCATGACGGGCCCATTGGCATTGACCTAAACTAATTTAATCCAAGTTTGACTGGCTATTTTTAGCTGTCGTGGTTGTGTGGAAACTCGCCACCCGCCAGGGACTTCTGGGATTGTCGTTTTCTTTGGATCCGGAGATGTTCTTCACACCTGTAACATGGAAGACAGCTGCTCCCCCAATGAGCCATGTACTGTACGCCATCTAAATCATATGTGCACTCGGATGGAAACATGAATAAGAAATGGAGCAACCTAGCTCACTTTCTTTCCATCTCTCATGTGAACATCCATTCTGATCGGTATCTTTATTCTGTAGCAGGTGACATATTGTCATATTAGGCGACCCCTGTGCTGGCCCGTTCCCCTTGTTTTTTTTCTCATATAAAAGCTGCTCTACTGACATCACTGGCCATGTGGGATGAGAGCAGGGCTTGGAAAGCAAAGCACGCTTGGCTGGAACCCGGCAGCCGAACAATGCAGCCTGTGTCCTCCTAAAACGCCAGCTGGAGTGGAACTTCAAATCCTCTCTCCATCTTTTTCCTGTCTTTTTTTCTCTTTCTTTCCCTTCTAGCAGGCCTCAGTTCCTCTCATTCTGAAAGCAGCAGTGGCTCACTGGGTAATCAGGGGGCAGTAATTGCTGGGCCTGCTGACCCACTTTTTATGGTTGGGCTGGGTGAAATTTCCTGATCTGCTGTCCACAGTTTCACTCAGGGCCTCTGCTGTAAAAAAATCCTTGTCAATAATATGTTATCTCCTTTTCTGAGTGGTCACTGTGGTCTGAACCTTGACATTTGACATGTCTTTTGTGGCCTTGTCCGAAAATGGTGTCAACTGCAGATGCTGTAATGACTCAAAACAACATACTTTTCATTTTTAACATTACAGAAGAAGAGATTCATATCAGAAATCTCAGAAAATGCAAGGATCGTCCGTTCGTCAGGTCTTTTGACACGGTTGGTCGTAAATGTTCATGGGCAGATAGATGAGATTACTAATGACTGCGCTCCTGCTTCCGTTTTTACTCTCAAATAACTACTTGTTAATCACTTTTATATTGTCATTCGCCACATAAAAGCCACCCATATGGGTCATGAAATATATTGTTGGAGTCATCAAATCGGTTGAATTGCAGTTTTACGGCAGAGCTCCCCAGAGATGTGATTGATACATAGCACTTGGGATGATGGAGTGGGAAGTTGGCCTCATTTGGCCTTCCAGCAAGTTAGTCACGCTCTTTTGGAAGCAGATTTTAATGCGAGGGTTGCCGGGTCATTCCTGTTATGAAGTACGTTTTCGTGTCACCATCACATCTTAATTTTATACTATATATATATATATATATATACTGTATATATACATACAAACACATATACATATACACACACACACACACACTCACATCTTAATTTTATACTATATATATATATATATATATACTGTATATATACATACAAACACATATACATATACACACACACACACACACACATATATATATATATATATATATTTATACACGTATACATATACATATATACATGTATATATATATAATGAAAATAGCAATGAAGATGCTGACATGGCATTAAATATGTACTACTACTACTACTATACATATATACATTTTTTTCCTTCCAAGTAGGGTTCAAAAGGTACTGCACAACAGGAATGACCGGCGACCCTGCTTGTTTGCAAATTTCTATTCTCTGCTTACACAGGTGCTGTTTTAATTAAATGTTTGTATTAAAATTTAAACAAATAAATTAAACTTCAAAAGGCAGTCTTCTTGATCTGCTTTTTGATATGACTGTGATGTATAGGTTAAATCAGGGTCAGCATTGCTCTCATGTTTTTTCCCCTCTGTGTTTTTCTATTTGTGTGTTTGCTGTGGTCTGCATTGCCCTCTGCAGGACCCTCTGGATGTTGCACGTTCTGTGATTGTCATCCGCTCTGTGGTGCCTGGAGGGGTAGCAGACAATCACGGTGGGCTCCTCCCGGGTGACCAGCTGGTTTTCGTCAATGACACTCAACTAGACACATGCTCTCTTGACCAGGCCGTAGAGGTTCTCAAATCTGCTCCGCCTGGGAGAGTCTATCTTGGAATCAGGAAACCGCTGGTGGTAAGAGCCAATATGCAATTATGGCCTATTAACATTCAGTGCTGGATGTGTTTATTTTGGAAACTATTTAAGATTGTTGGGTATTTCTTCATAGTATTACTTTGATTCGTGGATCTTTATAGTGTTTACGGTGTCTTTTTTCCACTACAATGTGATTTTATATCTCATAATATGATTATATCTTATTTCTCACAATTATCCGCTTAATTTTTTTCCCCCTAAAGCAGAGTGCCATGTAAATCAGATGTTTACAATAAATATGAATTAGGTTACTGTAACACTGTCAGATAAGCATAATAAAAGCTTGTTTGGCTTGTAGTAAAATGGTTAGCTCATCCTGCTATTGACACAGTAATACATGTGATATGTCCATTTAGTCAAGTTTATTTTGCATTGATATTTTGCATTGTTTTGTGTCTGTGAACTGAACAGCCAGAGGACAGAGGTAGTGGGCAGCAGTCCTCTTGGCCTGTAGAGGGCGCCAATGAGCAACCAGCGGCAAAGCAGGACGTCACTCTTCCATCTATGCAAGAGGTATTCCGAATACACCTTTGAAAGCAGTTAATACTTTTATTCAGCAGTGATGCATTAAATTGATTAAAAATGACAGTAGAGACTTTTACAAAAGACTTCTGTTTTAAATAAATGCTGTTATTTTGAATTTTCTAATCAAAGAATCCTGAAAATATTTTTATCATGGTTTCCACAAAAATGTTACGCTGTAACTGTTTCCAGCATTGATAATAATAATGTTTCTTAAGCAGCAAATCAGCATATTAGAATGATTTCTGAAGGATCATGTGACACTGAAGTAATGATGTTGAAAATTCAGCTTTGCATCATAGGAAATATCATTTTAAAATGCTTTAACAGAAAATGGTTACTTAAAATTGTGATTAATATTTCACAATATTACTGTTTTTACTGTATTTTTAAGCAAATAAATGCAGCCTTGTTGAGCATAAAAATTTAATCAAATTAAATAAAAAAAATTAAAAATCTTACCGATCCAAAACTTTTGAACCATATAAACATATGAACTTTATGAACTTTTGAAACATACACTTTAATCAAAAATCCAATAAACACACACACACACACACACACACACATATATATATATATATATATATATATATATATATTAATATAGCTAATTATAGATTGATCTATTTTACAATATTAAGCTAGCTTTAACAAAAGCAGAAGTTAGTAAGCTAAAATTAGGCTAAATGTTTTGTTGTTGTCATGAGACCCCTGAGAAGTTACAGACCCCTGGTCTATCATCCGAAAACACACTTATGTCCATCAATATGTAGCAAAGGAACCCAACTACAGTTATTATTAACAAAGAGAGCATATGTTGAAGCCAGAAAGAAAAAGAGCTCGAGCAAAAGAAGATGAGCGAGGAAAAAGAGGAACAAATGAGCAAGCCTCATGTGAGGGATCTTTTTGGAGGTGATGCATGACCCCCTCTATGGGCCTTTGAAATGTACCGTATTATCCTTGAATTTTAGCAAAGATGTAATTGAGGTGGCCGAGTCAAGTGCTGCCGTAAATCTACTCAAAACGAGACTAATTGTGCCATTAAGATTTTAGACTCGGCACATTTTTCATGGCAAATTGGTTCTGCTCGCTGCAAGGGGGGGGTGAGTTAGAAAGGCGCTGAGTTGGCTTGTTGGAGCGACGCAGGGGAAAAGTGCGCTTTCAGCTCTTATGATCCGTAAGTGTGTGGAAGAGGGAGAGGAGGACAAGCTCCGGCACCCTGTTGCAGGGATAGAAAGAGCTGCTTTGTATGCAGCAGACAGACAGGAGGTGAGATGTCTCTACCCTCCACGCCCACTCCAACATCAGACGTTTCTGTTAGCGGATGATTTAGGGGGGAGGAATGTTAAAAAGGGGTATAAAGTAGCATAGGGTTTCGTTGTCAAGAGTTTCGGTATGGGTGGAATTGACTCGAAAAACTAAACAAAGTTGGGCAGGTTTGGACTGTGTTTAATACAGCACTTTTTTGAGAGCTTATGAAATAATTTTAGCTTGTATTTGGTAGATGTGGCCTTGTGGTTCAGGATTTAGGTTGGTTGCCAAAAGATTGTGGGTTCAAATCCCTTAAGAATCAATTCCTAAATTACTAGCAAAGTGCGATTAAAGGGATTTTTCGACCGAAAATGATCTCCTCAGAAAGTAATATTTAAAGTTAGTTAAACTCTTGGACTAGTTTGCTAAGAATCATTTAAAGGTGACATTTTTTAACACAAATTATATAAATATGAGCATTTAACAAATTTACACTGAGTTTAGTTTAGTTAAACGCTTGGATTAGTTTGCTAAGAATCAACTAAAGATGACATTTTTGTGCACAAATGATGTAAATATTAGTGCTGTCAAACGATTAATCACGATTAATCGCATCCAAAATAAAAGTTTTTTACATAATAAATATACACAGCACACACACATATATTATGTATATATAAATACACATGCATGTATGTATTTCAGAAAAATTGGTTATGTTTATATATTAAATATATTTATTTATTTATTATATAAATGATATGAATTTAAATATAGACATGTAAATACATGTAAATATTTTCAAAATATATATACTGTATGTGTGTGTATTTATATATACATAATAAATATAGACAGCACACACACATACTATGCAAACAAAAACTTTTATTTTGTATGCGATTAATCGAGATTAATCATTTGACAGCACTATATTAATGTTTTTAATGAGTTTAGACTGAGTTTAGTTAAATTCTTTGGCTAGTTTGCTAAGAATCAACTAAACGTGACATTTTTGAGCACAAATTATGTAAATATGAAAATTTGAACAGGCTTAGACTGAGTTTAGCGCAGCTCTTGGGACTTGTTTTGACTAAAGACTACATTTTTAGCACTTTTGATATAAATATGAATTTTTTTTGTTTGTATTTGGTTTACATGGCCTTACGGTTCAAAATTTTCGATTGGTTGCCAGAAGGATGCAGGGTCAAATTTCACAAAAATTGGCTTATGTACTATTATCAGTGTGCAGTTAAAGGAATATTTTACCTAAAAATGCAAATTCTGGTCTATTTCTGTTTTAATTCAGTCAAATTCTGATTTACTTTCTTCTGTGGAACACTAAAGTAGATGTTTAGGAGAATGTTCAAGCTGCTCTTTTCCATATAAATATGTTGGATTTATTCTACCAAGTTTGAAAAATGCACCATAAAAATGGTTCATACAACTCTTCTGACATTTTCTTAGCTTTGTGTGAGAAACATACTGAAATTTAAGTGGAAAAAATTATTTTCTTGATGGGGTAGGACTTTGGAAACGGCTCTGTCTTATTTGACAATCTGGACGAGGAGCCAGAGCTTATCCTGGACGCTGAGCCCCGCTACGCCTCTCCCCTCACCACCGTTGACCTCCTGCCCGGCCTGGAGCGAGAGATGGCTGTAGATGAAGATGATGAAGAGCAGGAGATGGACACCATAAATGATCAAGAGAGCCCCAAGGTCGACAGTCTACCTTCATACTTCAGTGAGAAGTCTCGCTCCTGGGAAGAACCAACACCATCTATCAGTTCCAACAGCCCCTATCAGTTCAACACTCAACCTGATACACAAGAACAGGTTTTAAATTAAAATATTTTTTATTAACATACATTTAAATGAAATCCATTATAACAAATAATACCATACACTACAAAATTACAAACAAATTAATGCATTAAATTAATGAGATTTTAAGTTGTCACAATGCTTAACATCCTAAAAGTTCTGAAAATAGGCTTAGTGTTCGTTATTAAGAATATTCAAGATATAATTTCTTTGTATTTTGGCGTATATTGAACTCTCTTGTTGTTCAGTTCACAGAGGAGGACAGTGAGCTTTGCACAAGCTTCAAGAAGATTCAGCTGCAGCTCCCGCAAATTCCCCTCAGTGAGTGTTTGTCTTTAAAGGGATAGTTCACCCAAAAATAAAAGCTCGATCATTAATTACTCACCCTCGTGTCGTTCAAAACCGGTAAGATCTTCGTTCACCTTCGGAGCACAAATTAAGATATTTTTGATGAAATCCGAGAGCTTTCTGACCCTCCATAGACAGCAACGCAACTTCCACGATCAAAGCCCAGAAAGGTAGTAAGGACATCGTTAAAATAGTCCATGTGACATCAGTGGTTCAAGCATAACTTTATGAAGCTACGAGAATATTTTTGTGTGCATAGAAAACAAAAATAACGACTTTATTCAACAATTTTTTCTCTTCCGTGTCAGTCTTCGATGCACGTTCACAAGAATACCACAACATATGCGCAAAAATTATTCTCGTAGCTTCACCTCGTGTCGTTCAAAACCGGTAAGATCTTCGTTCACCTTCGGAGCACAAATTAAGATATTTTTGATGAAATCCAAGAGCTTTCTGACCCTCCATAGACAGCAACGCAACTTCCACGATCAAAGCCCAGAAAGGTAGTAAGGACATCGTTAAAATAGTCCATGTGACATCAGTGGTTCAAGCATAACTTTATGAAGCTACGAGAATATTTTTGTGTGCATAGAAAACAAAAATAACGACTTTATTCAACAATTTTTTCTCTTCCGTGTCAGTCTCGATGCACGTTCACAAGAATACCACAACATATGCGCAAAAAGTAGTCTCGTAGCTTCATAAAATTACAGTTGAACCCCTGATGTCACATGACTATTTTAATGATGTCCTTACTGCCTTTCTAGGCCTTGAACATATCAGTTACATTGCTGACTATGCAGGGTCAGAAAGCTCTCGGATTTCATCAAAAATGTCTTAATTTGTGTTCTGAAGATGAACGAAGGTCTTACGGGTTTGGAACGACATGAGGGTGAGTAATTAATTACAGAATTTTCATTTTTGGGTGAACTATCCCTTTAAAACAAGGTTTATTTCAGTATTAATATACTGTCGTTCATTGCAGTTTGACATTTATACATCTGTTCTCAGGTCAGTCGGCCACATGGATAGAGGCAGCAGACAGCGAGGCAGACTCTGACTCCAAAAACGAAGGCTCAGAACTTACTTTGACTGACACGGACACTGAGTGAGTCTCCATCTATAATAAACACACAAACGTGTCTGTATGCATCACTCAACTAACTTCTATTTATCAATAAATTGACGTGTTGTCATTGGTTTATTATTTATAAATACACTTGCATATAGCAGGTGACAACGTTTTAAAAACACACAGCCATTATGACTTAAATGAAATTTTTGGTGCGTGTGTTCATTAAGATTGGTGCCCTATGTGGAATTTTAGTTACCGTGATGATGTTTTCTAATAGAACTATAACGCCACCTGCTGGACAAAGGTGGTGCTTAAGTAAATATTAACAAGGGCTGTTAAAAAACTAAAATTGTAAAGATGTAAAAAGTAAGATATTTAAATTAAGAAGTTTGTGGTGTTAATCATAATTTAGAGATTTATGCTTTTTGATATGTTACAAGTATTAGAAAATGATCATGCTTCCCTTAATTATGAAAATGAGTTAATTATGATAATCTGTGCTAACACAGCGCTATAACCCAGGTGTGGTAGAGAAATTGAGGAAAAGTGAGAAACGGATATAAAACACCGTTTTAAACTACACAATGAAAGGTGTCAAATTGGTGTGAAACGCAGCTGAGACTCGACCAGCTGTTTTTGACAACAGTGTAATAGTGTGTGTGTGTGTGTGTGTGTGTGACTTTTTTTGTTTTGTTTTGTTTGGGCACATGTTTTTGGAAATTAATAACTAATTAATTATTTTATTTACTGTGAAAATATTTTATTATATAATAAAATTTATTATGAAATATTTACTGTGAAAATATTTTATTATATAAAATTATATATATATATATA